TTTGTTTCTCTAAATCATATTTGTAATAATGAATACGAAGCTCACTTGGTCCATGTCATTTGGGTGTTGCTTCCTCACATGGCGCTTCATGTTCAACCCTTTATAGCTGCAAACGGGACAACTGTAAATGTATTTTCTGAAAAAGATATTACAGTGCTGTGTTATTTCGTGCTTATGAATTATTTTCAGCTTAGCAAAATACTGTTGCTACATCACACGACCTTTGCTCCAATTTGTTAATTCGTGCATTGACGGGAGTTAAAAAGCGCTACTTACGACTTAAAAGTACGACTTCTCTGCTCATGCATTTTCTTCTTTATCTTGTCGTTTTCACTTTTGAGGTTAATATTTTCTGTCTGAATTTTCTTGTTATCATTTCTCAAATTTGATATCATAGTCTCAAGTTTCTTTATCCTTTCATCTACATCGACATTACTCTCATTTGTTCCCTCTATTTCGTCTTCAGTGGATGTCCAACCATCTTCCTTTTCAACGTCATCATCAGTAYTATAGCCTAATCTTGCTCTTTCTTCTTCGTCAAGTGGTTCACCCATTATATCTCTCCAGGTTGTTGCCCCTGCTTCCTTTACTAAAATAAAAATCGAAACTGATATAGAATGACAAGTAATTGATTAATGTGAGTTTCTTATATAGCGCATTTCAAATTACAAATAGTTATGCATATTGATGAAGGAATAACGTCCGAAACGTCGGTTCAATATTTTTTCATACCCACGGTGATAAAATTTTCAATTGAAATCATAGTTTACTTAATGGAGCGGTAAAATGGTAAGATATATCAAACAAAAGATTAAATTTTTAATAGTCTGTTCTTACCCATGCCTGGGTTGTCTTTAAGAGTGTTTGCAAACCTCTGTCTATATGACTTGTCGTAGCCTAGTAGCCCCTTTTGAGAAAAAAATACAACTTTCAAAGTTTGATTTGCACTTGCCTTTCTTCATTACAAAATTAATAACTTACTCTAGGATTCTTTTTAAGAGATTCCTTTGTCCGTTTTTGTAATAATTCCCTATACATTCTACATTCTTCTTCGGTTGAGATCGAAGAAGACTCATCTTCCGCCATGATTTTAAAAATTCTATAAAAAATGAAATAAATAAAAATTTCTAAAGATGAAAATATGTTTGGCTTCCTGTGGTAAGGCCTTAAATATATGGTATTCGGTTAGAATATGAATGAAAAAATTAGCAATCTAGCTACTCTACCAGATTAATTTTATTTACAATAGCTTTTTGTGCATAAATTCTAGAACATAAGAAAACGAGGTCATATTATTAAGCAAATATTTCAGAAATTGTCGATAATGATCAACTGACCCGTTCGTCGATCGTATAAAATGCAATAAATTCACTAAATACATGTCAAGC